CCTATGGAGAAATAATATTCTTCCGCCTCCCCTTCTTCTTTTCTCTTCTTCCCTCTTTATTCCTCCTCCTCCTCCTCTTCTTTTCTTTTAAGATTTATTTATTTATTATGAATACAACATCCTGCCTCCATGTCTGCCAGAAGAGGGCACCAGATCTCATTATAGATGGTTGTGAGCCACCATGTGGTTGCTGGGAATTGAACTCAGGACATTCTGGAAGAGCAGCCAGTGCTCTTAACTTCTGAGCCATCTCTGCAGCCCCTCTTCCTTCTTTTCTCAAGATAACATCTCACCTATCCCTAGCTGGCCTCAGACTGCCTTTGTAACTGAGAATGACCTTGAACTCCTGAGCACTGGGGTTACAGTAATGCATCACCATTTCAAAGTATATGGTACTAGGGATCAAATCTGGACTTCATGCATCCTAGGCATGAACTCAACCAATTGACTTACATTCTCTATGAGTGACCTTGTGAACCTTCCTGGTGTTCGTGCCAGTTGCTTTGATATGTGCAATTAAAAAGTGTAGCCATGTAATATTGACATGGGTTTAAATATTACATGAAAAGGTCTTTATCATATATTTCTTTATTTGGTAGAGGGGGCACACACCATAGCAAACACATTGAGGTCAAAGGATAATTTTCAGGAGTCAGTCCTCTCCTTCTACCACGTAAATCAGGGGCTTGAACTCTGGGTCATTAGACTTGGCAGCTAGTGCACTTACTTGTTGGCCCATTTTCTTTTGGGGGCGTTCTTTTTGTTGTTGTTTGTGTTGTAAATGTTCTTAAAATGTTGATGTCTTTAGGGTCTGTGGTACTCAGTAGATTAGCCATATGGATTTCTACACTTTTGTTAAGGGCAGGAAGAGGTCGGAATAGCATATCAGGGCCAACAAGGCCATGTGTAAGAAGGGCTATTTCTCTTCTAGCACTGAGGACCAGAACAGCCAGAGAAGCAGGACTGTATCCCAACTCTGGCTCTCTTCCATCCACTTCAGCATGTGTTTTAAGGCTCATGCCATATTACCTCAGCCATGAGCTATTTTTTTCCAAAGACTGCTGAAATAAATTGGAAAAAATAGCCCAGTGTTCCAAAGTGGACTCTCATGGGCTTTCAGTGCACACTGCATAAATAAAAGATTTGCTTTATAGCTCAGAGAAGAGAAAATGTAAATAAAAGCCAGCTGCTCCTCTCCAGGAGCAGAGGACACCTGGCTTCGTCTCTGCTTTTAGCCATGCCCCAGGAAATGTGTGGAGGGCTCAGTACCAGTGGCATTGGCTGCCAGACTTTGCCACACACTAGAATCACCTCAGGGTTATTTATTCAGAGACCTATGCCTTACCCCCAGATATGTGTTAATTTCCAAGGTTTGTCAGTGGGCAACAAAGACTTAGAACCACTCAGGAGGCTGTGTGAACATGCCTGAGGAACAGGGAGGCTGAAGTACTGATCAGTCATTTTATTTTCTGTCGGTTGAGAGCTGTCCAGTTATCACAGGTGAATAAAGACAGGCATGGGGACTCAGCTGTTTAGAGCACTGGCTGCTCTTCCTGGATACCCAGGTTCCATTCCCAGCACCCACATGGCAGTTCATAGCCAACATGTAAATCCAGATCCTCCTGCCTCCACCTCCCAGGTGCTAAGATTACAGACCTGGCTTGTGGGTTACTGAGGCTAGAACCTGAGGCTTTGTACATGCTAGGCAAACACTCTGAACTGAACTATATTCCAATCTCAGGCACTCAAAAGATATTTTTTTATTTGAATTAGAAACAAGATTGTTTTACATGTCAATCCCAGTTCCCTCTCCCTCCCCTCCTCCCCTACTACTCCCCCCAACTAAAGCCCTATCTATCACATATCCTTTCTGCTCCCCAGGGAGGGTGAGGCCATCCATAGGGGGTCTTCAGAGTCTGTCATATCCTTTGGGATAGGGCCTAGGCCCACCCCCATGTGTCTTGGCTCAGGGAGTATCCCTCTATGTGGAATGGGCTCCCCAAGTCCACACCTATGCTAGGGATAAGTACTGAACTACTACAGGAGGTCCCGAAGATTTCCACTCAAAATATTTTTAACCTGCATTTTTAATGTAGTAGTTAAATAAGGAGTAAGGGTTGATTTTCTTTTCCTCACAAAAGATTTCCACATTGCAATATGATATCAAAGATTAGATTTTCAAAAGAATGCTTTAAACTATTTAAAGAAAAATATATTAAGATACTCAAAAGTTTCAGAAGTCCTAATTATCTAATATGCTAATGATAAATTGTTATGTTTATTAAAATAAATCACATGAGACTGGCACACTGCCTACTGCACTAAGGAAACATGGAGGCTCACACCATAATCCCAATACACAGAAGGCAGAGGCAGAAGGATAGCCACAAGTTGGAGACCAACCTGGTCTATGCAGAAAGTTCCAGACCAATCAGGAATCATGGAGAGACCTAGTCTCAAATAAATTAATAAGAAAATTTACCAAATCTTGTTGATCAACTCACCAACAAGTAACAAACAGTGACAATGTCCACGTAGACTGTACTGAGTGATTAACACTAACTAGGGACATTGCTTTGTACATGTTCTGACTCTTTAATTTGTTTAAATGTGTTTTTATTTATGAGAGAGGGAATATGGCCATGTGTGTGGAGATCAGAGAACAATTTTCAAGCACCAGTTCTCTTCTTCCCACTTCCCATGGGTTCTTGGTATTGAACTCGGGGCATCAGTTTTTGAAGCAAGTGCTTATAACCCAATGAGCCACCTTGCCAGCCCCATCTTCTGACATTCACGAAAACAAGTCATTGAAACCAAAGCCACTCCCGCATAGGTGAAGACAATGAATAGGGGCTGAAAGTTGTGGCAAATCTCTTTTATTGTCCATTTTATCCCTTTTCCATAGAAGTTTCTCAGCACTTCATCGGGAGCCTGATAGCATGAGGTCATACTAATGAAGTCTGCGTGGGCTTGGGGCCAAGAAGAAAGCTGTTCAGAGAGCCCTCTTAAATGCGGCTGTGAAATCTAGAACTCTGGCAGATCTTAAGGCAGTGATACACTGCACATGGACTGTCATCAGACCCCTCAAGTTCAGCCCTGGCTCTATGACTAAATAGCTATATTTATGTATGATGTTACTTTACTCTCTGTGTGCCTCAGCTTCATCTGTGAAATAAGTGATGATAATAGAGCTGCCTCAAAAAGTTGTTGAGGGAGAAGAGTAGATGAGAATGCATTTTGGAGCAGAAAGAATAACCTGTGGTACATGATAAGCACATGGCCCAGCTAGATCAGAAGACAGAGCTCTATGCAGTCACTAGTGGCATCAGGGCTCAAAGTGGCTGCAGACTGATGTCGTTGCCATAATGCAGTTGGGCAGTCAGCACTTCTACAGAGGCTCTGAACTTTGAAGGTCTCTACCGTTACATGTAAGAGAGAAAGGGGCTCTATCTGTCTTGCTACATGCACATGGAGAATTCATCTGGTGAAAGATGATAGATTTCTTCGGTGTAGGGCGAGCTATATCACTGTGTCTGAAGGTGGGATCTGGTCTTTCAGATGATGCTCATTTGAGAAACCAAGAAGCTCACAGCCCAAATTCCAGTGCTAGCATTTCTTGGCCTTAGCCAAAACATTCAGCTTCCCTGCACTTCAGATTCTTCATTCTTAAGATAATAACACCTGCCGGGCGTTGGTGGCGCACGCCTTTAATCCCCGCACTCAGGAGGCAGAGGCAGAGGCAGGTGGATCTCTGTGAGTTCGAGGCCAGCCTGGTCTACAGAGAGAGTGCCAGGATAGGCTCCAAAGCTACACAGAGAAACCCTGTCTCGAAAAACCAAAAAAAAAAAAAAAAAAAAAAAAAAAAAAAAAAAAGATAACAACACCTAACACCTATCCCCAGACCAGTGCCAACCGTATCCCAGAGTGGGTTGGAAAATTCCGCCAAGAGTTGTGTATATAGTTTTATATTCAGCATATCAGTATATCTGAAGGAGTTTTATTAGAGTTGGTTCAGAAGTTCATCATCCTGAAAGAACCAAAGTCCTGGTCCCACGTTTCATTAACTTAGACCCTCTCAAAACTGGGCTTAGAGTTGTGACAGACTTACTATAGTCAGAGATTTTGAACCCTCAACAGATGGAGGTGGTAAACTGCCATTCTAACTCATTCCTTGACTTCAGACTGCTCCTGGGAAGAGCCATCCCTAGCCTGAACTCACCCAATCTAAGAATAATGGGACCTATCCCTCTGGTAAATGGAGTCAAAATGTCTAAGCAGAGGCTGGAGAGATGGCCCAGCAGTTAAGTGCACATAGTGCTCTCACGGAGAACCTGAGTTCAGTTCCTAGCACCCATGTCAGATAGCTCAGAACTGCCTGTAAGTCCAGCATTAGGGAATCTGATGCCCTCTTCTGGACTCCATGGACACCTACCTGAATTCACACATGCACATACCAACACACACACACACACACACACACACACACACACACACACACAAATGCACACAATTAAAAATAAGATAAATCTTCTTTTAAACAAGCCTAAGCAGACGTTGTACTAAATTTGTGTGTGGTGTAACTAACAATACTTGATACTTACCAACATGGTCTGTGTCTAGAATCTTACCTACAAGTGTTCTCTTTGAAAACTCCCTACACACCAGGTGGTGGTGGTGCACGCCTTTGACCCCAGCACTCAGGAGTCAGAGGCAGGCAGATCTCTGTGATTTTGAAGCCAACTTGGCGTACAGAGTGAGTTCAAGGACAGTCAAGGCTGTCACACAAAGAAAAGAAAAGAAGAGAAAAATGAAGAAGGAAAACTCCCTACACGTGAGCACACGTGTGCATACATGCATAGAAACATGAATACTACTCAGACATTAATCCACCTACCAATTGCTCTACAAGTTCAGTATTTATGGTTTTGAACATTGCTGTGGCTTTGGAGAAGAGGTACAGTGAAGTTTTATGTTTGATCTGACTCTCCTGACTTTTCCAGGGAAAACAGAAGCCTATTTGGAAGCCATTAGAAAAAACATCGAATGGTTGAAGAAACACAACAAAAAAGGAAACAAAGAAGGTAGGGGCTTGCTGTGGTTGTACATCACAAATGTCACCTGTTTCCCCAGGGTTCCTTTTATACTGAATCCATAAAGTTGAACTGACTGAGTTCAAGTCTCCTCTCAAACTCAGATTCTCAGATGTCAAGGGGGATATACGCCCCCACTTCTCTTTCAGTTTAAGTTATCATAGAGAAGAATGGTTTTGTTTGCTTGTTTGTTTTGTTTTTGAGACAAGGTCTCACTGTATATATAGCCTTGGCTAGCCTGTAACTTTCTACGTAGACCAAGCTGGCCTCAAACTCACAGTTTCACCTGACTCTGCATCCCTAGTTCTGAGACTAAAAGTATGGGACACCACACAATGCCAAGCCCAAGTCATTGGTTTTATTATGGCATTTTCTTTTTTTTCTTTTTTTTCTTTTTTTTCTTTTTTTGGTTTTTCGAGACAGGGTTTCTCGAAACCTGTAGCTTTGGAGCCTATTCTGGCACTTGCTCTGGAGACCAGGCTGGCCTCGAACTCACAGAGATCTGACTGCCTCTGCCTCCTGAGTGTTGGGATTAAAGGTGTGCACCACCAATGCCTGGCTGTCATTTTCATAATACTTTTGTATGTGTGTCCTTACACACACACACACACACACACACACACACACACACACACACCAGATAAAATCAAGAATCTGCATCTAAAAGAAGAGTGTGCTACCTACATTTCTGGTCTGATTTCTTTCACTTAACATAGTTATCTCCAGTTCCATTCACTTTCCTGCAATTCTCATAATTTCATTTTTCTTTACAGCTGAACAAAATGTCATGGTATATAAGAACCACATTTCTTTATTGGCTCATCTGTGGGTGAGCATCTAGACTGATTATACTTTTTAGCTGCCATGACTGGTGCAGCAATAAACCTAGCTGTACACATAACCCTGCAGCGGGACTTAGGACCACGGCATGACCCATCTATACCACTTGGGTTTATATTCAAAGGACTTCAATTGCGGGTTTTTTGAGAAAGCACTGTTGGTTCCTTAGTGATGCAGCAGCTCCTGTTTCCATAGCGATGAATAAGGATCACTTCCCTGACATCCTCAACATTTGTTGTTTTCCTTGTTAGCCACTCTGACAGTGGTGAGATAGCTAAGAATGTGGAATGAATTGTCAAGTATTCATTGGCCATCTGTACTTCTCTTTTTAAGAACTGCCTGGTTGGATCTCTGTGAGTTTGAGGCCAGCCTGGTCTAAGTAGTGAGTTCTGGGATAGCCAGAGCTAAATAGTAGAACACTTACTCAAAAAAAAAAAAAAAAAAAAGAACTGCCTATTTAGTCCATTTGCCCATTTATTGATTGGATGATTTTGATTTGTATACATCCATTTACATATGTGTACATGTATGTATATGTGGGAGGCCAGAGGTTGTATCGAGTGTCTTCTTCAATTGCTTTTCTCTTTACTTTTTATTTACATTTGGAGAGGGGATACATGCATGCCATGGCATGCCTCTAGAGATCAGAGGACAATTTGCAGGAGTCAGTTCTCTCGTTTCACCATGTAGTCCTAGGGATCAAACTCAAGTTGCCACACTTGTCAAAAGCACCCTTACCTGCTAAGCCATCAACCTGGCCCTCGATATTATTTTTTGAGATAGAGCCTCTCACTGGACCTGAAGCTAGCCATGGGCAAGATTGGCTGGCCAGTGAGCTTCAAGAATCTGCCTGTCTTAGCCAGATATGGTGGTGCACACCTTTAATCCCAGGATTTGGGAAGCAGAAATATGTGGATCTCAGGGAACTCAAGCCTGATCAGTCAGAGCCACATCGTGAGACCCTGTCTCAAAAAAAAAAAAAAAAAAAGTAAAAATCTGCCTATCTCTACCTCCCCAGCACTGGGGTTATAGATATGCTCCACCATACTCAGCTTTTCACCTTGGTGCTGGAGCTCTGAACTCATGTCCTCATGCTTGCAAAGCAAGCATTTTTACCAACTGAGCCATCTCCCGAGATGCCATGTTTTAGATTTTTGATGTTTAGCTTTTGTAGCTCTTTACATAGTCTAGATATTAACTTCCTGTCTGATGTATAACTGACAAAGATTTCCTCCGTTCTGTCTCTTCACTGATTACTTCGTATAAGCTTTTTGATTCCATGTGATCCCATTCGTCATGTCCTGGAGGTATTTCCTGTAGCACTGGGATCCTTTCAGAAAGTTCTTGCATATGTCTATATCTGGAAATGCCTTTGCTGTTTTTCTCTAGCAGTTTCAATGCTTTGGATCTTGTATTAAGATCTTTGATCTGGAGATAGAGAGATGAGTCAGTAATTAAGAGTACTTTCTGCTCTTGCAGAGGACCCATGTTTCAATTCCCAGCACCCCAATGCCAGCTCCCAACTATCTATAACTCCATTCCAGAGGATCTAATGACCTCCAGTGGCATAGACCTACATGCAGGCAAAACAGCCATGCACATAAAATAGTTAGAGTAAAATATTTTTACATTGACTCAGTATGCCACTTTGGGTAATATAGTCATTTTCACAACAATAAATTCTTCCAGGCCATGAGCATGGAATATCTTTCCACCTTCTGATTTCTTTCACTTCCTTGATTAGGTAAAGTATCCGTGGCTGGCCTAGAACCATGCAGATAGACCAGGCTGACCTTGAACTTACAGAAATCTACTTGCTCTGCCTTTGCTACACTGCCATTAAAGGTGTGCTCCCCCATGCTCACTTGGTGGTTTTTTGTTTCATTTGTCTTTTGAGGCTGTTTTGAATTGGGATACTTTTCTCATTTCTTTCTCAGTAACTTTGTTATTATTTTACAGAAAGGTCACTGATTTTTGCATATTGATCTTGTACCCTGCTACTTTGCTGAAGCATCTATCAGTGAGTGCTGAGAGTGACGTCAGAGTCTTTAAGGTCTTTTGGATGTAGGATCATGTCTTCTGAAATAGGGATAATTTCACTTCTATCTTTTATATTTTTGTTGCTTTTCTTTCTTTGTGCTGATTTATTGTTCGAACTATGACTTTAAACACTATATTGAATAAAAGTGAAATGGGCAGCGGTGGCTCATGCCTTTAATCCCAGCACTCAGAAGGCAGAGTTCAAGGCCAGCCTGGTCTACAGAGTGAGTTCCAGGACAGGCTCCAAAGTTACACAGAGAAACCCCGTCTCTTTGAAAAAAATAAATAAATAAAAATGGATAGGGTATTCACTCTATCTCATTATAGATACTAGAAGATATGTTTTCAGGTTTTTTTTCTCTAGTATAAGGTTGACTATAGGTTCAGTATGTATATTTTTATGGTGTTGAGATATGAAACCTCATTTCTTTTTTTTTTCAAATCATTTTTTCAAAGTATTTTCTTTTTTATCTGATTATGGCAAATGTCAAGTAAAGACAAAGTGAACATAATGTCCCCATGTTTCCAGCGCCCATCTGGAGTAGGTATCAGATTTTGGCATTTTGCCTATCCTGTCTTACCTACCCCAGCTTTCTTCAAGGTTTATTATGATCATTGTTATTTGTTTTCATCTGTTTGTTTTGAGACAGGGTCTCGTTCTATATACCAGAATGTTATGAAAATCACAGCAATCCTCTTGCTTCAGCCTCCTCAGTGCTGGAATGACAGGTGTGAGACACCTCACTTGCATCTTAGAGTATTTTAAGATACTCTTAGAGTATTTTAAGATACTCACTTGCATCTTAGAGTATTTTAAACGGGAATTTTCTGAGCACATATTTGGTATATTCTGTGGTCACAATGGGAGTCCCTCACTTACATAAAACAAATTTAAGAACAAGACCCTGTTCAGAGTCTTGGAGATGCACAGAACAAGAAGATGCAGCAACCACACACACACACACACACACACACACACACACACACACACAGGCAGCTTACCCTATTTTGGGGCCCTGGTTGAACCTACTCAGTATTGTCCTCCTTAAGCATAGGAGCACTGGGGAGCCAAGAGAATGGGGTGGGTCATCTTGGCAACACAGACTGTTGGGGAAAGGGCTGCAGAGAGGAAGTATCTCCTGAGAAGGGAGAAGTGATAGGTACAATTAATAAGTGGGCAAGGAGACTATTGCGTTCCAGGAACTGGAGCTGTCTGTGGAGAGGAGAAGCAGTCAGGTGTAGGAAGTCAGGCCAGGAAGGGGTTTGTACGCTCCACAGTGGAGGATAATTTTAGCCACAGGAACCTAAATTAGAAGCTAATTTGTTTTTAAAGGAAAAGCATCCAGCAGTCATGTGGTTACAGATTGAAAATAAGGCCCTAGAGAGCAAGAAGAGGCCAAGATCTGGAGCAGAAACACAAGGCAAGGAAAGATGAGGCCGAAACATAAGCAAGCAGAGGAAATGAAGAGGGAAGGAAAGCTCATGGGCTGTGAGGAGAGTGAGCAGTCCAGAGTGATTCCAGGTGTTCAGCCAGCGCAGCTGCAGAGCAATGCCTTCAAACTTTGGAATCATTTAGACCACAGGAGATCTCCCAAGTATCTGAGTGCCACTCTGAATATGGGAAGTGAGCTATTAGGGGACTTTGCTGTTGTGCAACATTATAGACGGAACAAACACAAACCCAGTACAGATCAATCACTCCATGTGATGCAGTCAGGTGATGCACTGAGTCTGGTATGGGGGCTCACAACCTGTCATCCCAGCACTTGGGAGTCTGAGGCAGGGGGATCGCCATGAGTTCAAGGCAAGGTTAGGCTACATAGTGAGTTTAAGACCAGTCCTGGCTACTACTCCTGTGTAACCCTATCTCAAAGCAAATAACAACAAACTAGCTGGGGATATAGCTCAGTGCTGGCTTCTGGCATATAGAAGGCAGCGGATTTAGTCACCAGTACCACAAAATAGATAAATAAGTCAATAAACAAATAAAGGAGTTGGCCAAAAGAAGTGCTCATTCGAAAGAAAGACAGAAAGAAAGAGGCTAGCCAACATCAACCTCTGGCATACACATATGCACACTCACACAGGTGTTCACACACACACACACCCACACACACACACTCGCACACGCAAACATGCATATACGTGTGGACACATACAAAACAATTTACACAAACAATATTTCATCCACTCTGTCATTGTTTTAAAATGCATCATTTTTGGATCACTAAAGCCATCAAGGACTTCAGAAACTCAAAAATTAAAATGTTCCTCTTAGTATCAAAGAAATCCATCATGTACCAAACTGCACTGGAAAGCAGGCGCAATTGCAGGCACACCAATTTGGAGTGTTTATAGTACTTCTGATTTCATGCTGGCATCTGACTTCTGGTCATAGCCAGCACTGTGCTGTTCCCATCCAGTCCCATTCCAGAGTGACCACCCCAGTGTAGCTTCAAACCCTGGGTTTGACGAGGGAAGGAACTGCGAGAAAACTTGAGAGAGAGGGTGTTGTCTCTCCTGCTTTCTTTTGCTGCCAAGAAGTAAGGACGGCATGTGGTAAACCGTGAGTTCTGCTTGTCACGCATGGGGTGACTCTCAGTGCCTATGGAGGTCTAGGTGTTAGGGTCATGCCACGACTGCAGCTGTGTAGACAGAACAACTTCTTAGGAGTTCTGACCTTTAGCCTCTGCTGTTTCCCTGTCTGTCGGGAGCCTGGATGACATGAATCTCATTCTAAAATGCAAGAAAGGAAAATCTATGTGGAGGAGTTATGAAGGTGGTGATGAGATCTTACATAACTTTATATTGTTTGCTTTCTGTTGACATGTTAAAATACCATGACCAAATGCAGCTAACAGAAGAAGGGGTTGATTTGAGCTTACAGCAACAGAAAAAGAGCCCGCGTGGCAAGAGATGCATGGCTGCAGACAGCTAAAGCAGGAAACTGGCTAATCACATTTTATCAATTCACAGAAAGTAGAGAATGAATAAGAGCCACACATAGGACAAGGCTATAAACACCCAAAGCCTACACTCAGTGACATACTCCCTCTAGCAAGGCTACATCTCCTAAGAGTCGGATACTCTAAGCACCACCAACTGGGAACCAGGTGTTGAACATGAGTTTCCAGTGGACATTTGTTGTTCAAACCACAAGCCTCTTGGTTTTTGTTTTTCAAAACAGGGTCTCTGGTAGCCAAGGCTGGTCTTGAACTTGCTAGATAGTAGAAGATAACCTTGAACTTCTAATCTTCCTGCCTCTCCCTTCCAGGTGCAGAGATATATAAAACCCTAAAGAAAAAAAAGAAAGATATGCTTTTTTTAAGTAAATTGCAGCTGGGCAATGGTGATCTCTGAGTTCGAGGCGAGCCTGGTCTACAGATTGAGTTCTAGGACAACCTCCAAAGCAATACAGAGAAACCCTGTCTCAAA